AGGAATGGTTACTTTGGGTGACAGTGACCCAGGACATAAGAAGAATCATTAATAGCGTATGGCTAGCTGTGTACAAGGCACAAAGAATCATGCATATACTAGACCTCTGGTACCACCTGCAAGTCAGGTAGTCCAGGTCCGGGAATGTTGCCCAGAGAAGAGTAGCAGGTGGACTTTACAGTAATGTCCCCTGCTCCTGGAAGACTCATATACTTATTAGTGTTAGTAAACACATTTACTAGATGGGTTGAAGCATTCCCAAACTGACAAAATGAAAGGAGCAATGAAGTTGTAAAAGCCTGCTTAAGGAATGGTATGTTCGGACTCCCTAGGACCTTTCAAAGTGACAATGGTCCAGCTTTCACAGTAGCCATAATAAAGGGAGTAGTACAGGGTCTCCAAATTAGTTGGGTCTTAACATTCTTTGTGGAGACCACAGTCTTCAGGAGAAACAAAATGATGTAATCAAATGCTCAAAAAGACCCTGGCCGAACTGTGCCAAGAAACTCATGAGACCTGGCTTGAATTATTACCAACTGCCTTAACTCAATCAGGGTAGCACCTAACGGAATGCTTAAATTAAGTACTTTTTAACTTATGTAAAAAAGTTAAGGGGTAGGCCCTTCTTGGGCTCCTCTCCAATTTTAGGATGCCCAGACCCATTTATAGAACAGGCCATTAAAAGTATTATCCAAATAGGAAAGGTAACTGAAAACTTAAATGAATCTGCTAACCTGGTTTTACCCACACCAATAAATACTAAGCTATTCCTATATAATCCAGGGACCTGGGTATATATAAAAACCTGGAAATCAGGACCCCTGCAAGGTTAACTAAACCCAAAACATACATGTCCCCATTCTGTGTTATATACAACTCATTCTTCTCTGAAGCTACAAGATCTATCTTGCTGGACACATCACTCTGGACTGAAGCCAGTTCTACCACTCCATGAGAACAGGAACAAGATCCGTGGTTCTGCTGTGAACCCGTCTGACCTCAAGATGCTCTTCAAAAGAATTAGTAACTATTTTGCACTTCTGTTCTCAGGAATCCCAGAACCTAGAGGGTCCTAAGATTTTCATGAGATCAGAGAATTTCACTCCTTTAACTCAAAGATGTACTCAGTCCACCACGTTCAGCAGGAAGCAGTTACAGAAGTATGACCCTTGCCCCTAGGCCCTCAAGACTGAAGAGTGAAAAAATCACAGGTCTGGGTAGTTATAAATGTTATTCTTGCTAAATGTTAGAATGTAGCACAGCATTTTGCAAATCAGCTGTAAACAGGATGAGCTTGACAGGAACTAAACTGGATGAAGGTAATCAATATGTAATTGAACAAATAGTGTACATACATAAGTAATGACTGAGCCTCCCTTCCCACAGAGTGAGTTTTGGATACGAATCCTGTCTCCTCTACTTGCTGCAAGTAAATAAAGCTACTTTGCAATAATCACATTTTATTCTTGAACAGAGCTCCCCAAGTGGTGAACTGCTTGCGCTTGGTAAGAAAAGGAAGAGCGAAGACACCAAAACCAAACGCAACTAGCAATCTTTAATTACATTAATATCAGGCATCAAAGTAACTGGAAGCAATCAAAGAGAATCTGAACATTGACTGGACATTAGATAATATTAAAACCACTCACCATTTAGGCTGCTGAAATACTTGAAATCAATAATGAAAAGAATTCAGTCACTGATACAATCACTTTTAAGATAGGCACAACAATACAGTGTGACCTTCATTTTGTCAGATATGCCAGATTTAATCTTAGCAAATATTAACTACTGACACATATAATGACTTACAGTTCAGTGCTAACGTGAGCTAACCACATGTATTACCTGTGTATTATCTACAGATCTATGTATTATGCAGTGAAGTCTCCCTTAAGTTCATCTTTTCTCAACTTATCTTTCCACAGCTGACCTAGGACTCCTGCAACTTCTTACAATGCCACAAATGAATTTACTTATAACCAGAGAGTGCAACAGCTTCCAGGTTCTGTAACTGTTCTTCATCAAGTTGTTCTCTCACAATAATCCTATCCAATGTCCTAGTCATAAATCCAATGGAATTTTCATCTTTCTCTCATTCAGCAACTGTCACATCCAATACTGTAGACCAGTGATTTTCAATGGGTGTGTGGCAAGAATTTTTTAAAAAACACTGGCTATTTAGTCAAGGGTACTGACCTTTTCCCCTTTAGATTGTCAAATAAAAAAAATGACAACAAACACAATAATAGCCATCTGGTATGAATAAATCACAATTATACCTATGCTTGTGTCAAATCAGCAAAAAATATATAATTTTAGTAATTAGATTGTGTGTGTCATGAGATGTGATAAAGGTTGCTATTAGCTGCTGTAAACTGCTTAATTCTTAAAATCTTTACTTCTGTTGGTAATACACTCTCAACACTCTTCTATGCTTGTTTTGGCTAAGTCATATTCATCCTTGAAAACCAAGTTTAGATGTTATCTACTCAATAGCTGTTTGCCACCACCATTCTGTGTGATATCTAATACTCTGGGCTTGCCTCTCCATTATAACATTCAAAACATTGCACTGTAATTATTTACTTGCTGTCCACCAAATAGATGTGAATTTTCTGAGGGCTGAGTAACTAAAAACTTTGATTTAAAAGTATCTGGAACACAGAAGATTTTCTCTGAGTCAATCGATGAATTTTACAAAGATAAAGGGTTAACAAAACAGAGAAGTTAAGTAATTTGCTCAATGTTACAAAGCCAGTAGGCTAATACTTAACCCTACATCTTCTGATTCTGAATTCTTTCAAATAGCATTTTATACTCCATTTCCAACAATTTGTGAAGACTCTTGGCTTATAACATAAAAATACCTGGGAATGTGGAAATGGGCTACTAAACAGTAATTCTGATTATGCATGTAAGTATGAAATACTGTTGTTCTCAAGAAACAAACTGCTGAGTAAACCAGGCCAGGATCAGAGCCAACGTTTCGGGCACTCCAGAACAAGTTCTGTTTTTTTTTAAATTCATCACCCAAGGACATGTTTTTTGATTTTAGAGGGGGGAAGGGAAAGAGAGAATGAGGGAGAGAAACATCAACGTGAGAGAGAAATGATCAGTTGCGTTCTCACACATGCCCCTGAAGGGAGACCGAACCCACAACCCAAGCATGTGCCTTGACTGGGAATCAAACCTCTGACTCTTTGGTCTATGGGATGACAGTCCAACCAACTGAGTCACACTGGCCACGGCCACAACAAGTATCTTAAATATGGATGGTGTTTGAGAACGTTTTTGTTTAGGGACAAAATGAAAACAAACTTTACCCAATGGTTTCAGTGACTCAAACGAGAAATGAATTTACAAGGTTAATAACTCTTTCCAAAGCAAGAAACTATTTGGCTTTAATTAAGGTACAAATACACAACACTAAAACAAAATAAAAGAGCTCCCCAAACCTGGTTATTATGGACCTGCTTGGGAATTTTGTATATAGTTCAAAAACAGAAAAAGAAAGTTGTTTTCTTTCCCACTTATATGCTATTGATAAGAGTTGTCAGACCAAATTCCAACTGCAAAAACTATGTACATACTTTTCCATTTTTTTCTGTATACAACTAGTTGCCAAACACCAAAGAAGTACATTTCTCATTAAAATTACTTTAGGAGACAGGTAGATTATTGCTAAGGTAATGAGAATAATCAAGAGAGTTTCAAATTCCCAAGACAGATATGAAGAGGAAGTAAAAGTAAATTAAATTCAAGTATGTTAAAGTATATTTGCTTTTTTACTTATCTGAAACACTCATCTTGCCATTTTTCTCCTTAAAATCAATTATATTTACTAAATGAGACTATAAAATATTCACAACAGACGTAAAATTAAAGTGCAATGACTTATTAAAATATCAATAAACATCTCTAGTTCACAAACCACTGAAAAAATTAAAATGCCCAAGTTGTTCAATAAAGATAAACCTTGTTTGTACTAATTATTATGACCTAATATTACTAACATACTGAGAGATCACATTCCAAATGTTAATTAGTCAAATAAATGGCACTTAAGAAAAATTAAGTACTTACATGAAATTTTTCTTAGGTGAATGTATAGAAAGACTTTCCTAATAAAGTTTATGGCAATTGACCAGATTTTCTTCTACCATTTCTAAGACACTTTTCTGTACCATTTCATATACATATGAACATATATATACCCTTTCCTTCTTATACAAAAAGGAAAGTTAATTTACTGCATTTTCAAAGCATAAGTAGACAATCTGGGAGTCATTGCTGTGGCTAACCTAACATCTTCAGGCATCTTAGAGCAACTGCACACAGTCTACAGTCAGTCAGATTTTACCCCTACTTAAAATAATAATTATTAATTACTATTACTGTTAATTAATAATAATAATAAATTAATAGTAGCCCTCACTGTTCCAGAAAGAAGCAAAGGAAATGATTAGATTCTGATTAAACTTTTCTAAAATTGGAAACTACTGTGAATTAACTGGGACATTGTGGGACAAGCATTTACTACTGCGGTTCACTAATAGTGCCACAAATAAAAACCAAATGTTATGTTGTCTTATGATGCTACAACAGTTAATAAAATTTCCAAGAATATCTGGCATATTTAGCAAGAACAGGTTTTTTAGAGTATCTCATTCATCAACTCTGAGTTTCTAAATAAAATTCTAATGTTTATAACAAGTGGTTTGTTACAGAAATGTAACAAACCATTATAAAACTCAGAAAAACTTAAAATAAGCAGTAATAATATAAGCAGCATAACTATAAAATACTATTAAAAAGTGCTGCACTTCAATTTCATTATTGCTTTAATTGTAACAAAAAAGAAAGGTAAAGGAGAAAAGGTTTTAAAAAATCATTAGGAAAAAAACTACGATTAGGCTATAGGGAATTTCTTTCTAAATTATTAACATAATCATAGCAGGTAAGTTTCATTACACTATATATAGTTAAGTTCATTTTACCTGTGCAGAGATAATGTAACCAGGTAAGTTTCCTTCCACTGAAATGCTGGCTGTAAAATAATTCAAACTGTAAAAAATAAAAATAAAAAAATCAAATTATTTTCAGCTACTACAGTATAACTTACTTGACTACACTAAAAAGTTAAAAATATTCATGTTATAAAAAAGACATTACAGCCCTTCTGGCATACCTACTCATTTTACAGATCAGAAAACACATCCATGCAAGTCTCTAAACAACATCATACAAATATTACTCCAACTCTTTTTACAACCTTGTCCAGCACACTCTTTCTCCACTAAAATGCAGCCCTGAAAATATGACTTTTTGTATAAATTCAGAAATCACATAGTGATTCAATGTCATTTTTTAAAGATATCAATTTAGACTTCATAAATCCTAAGGACTGAACAAAAACACCGTCATATAAATTTCAATATAAAAATACAAGTCATACTTTTAATCTATTTGCCAATGTACACCTCTGCTGGGCAAGTAGATTAATATATCTGTGGTTCCCTATGAAGTGATATCTATGATGTAACCTCCACATCCAGTCACTCATTCAAGCAAAGCTTCAGAGTACTTGTCTTTGTATCTGCTTTTGTTGATATTATTCAAAAAAATTAAATTTAACATTCTATTATCGTAACTTTGAAATATAAGAAAATCATTCATTGGATTCAATGTGTAATTGTAGGACACCAGTCCAAAAAACAAAGAATTTGTAACTTTTAAAGAGCTGTTACATAATATACAGTACGAAAATAATACTAAAAAAATACCTCAATATAAAAAGATAAAAACTCAACTTTATTACAAAACTGAAAATAAACAAATGCATTATATCACAATTCAGAATTGTGGACGGACTTTTTAGCATGATGTGCTGTATATAATATAGCTAAAGCTTTCATTTGTCTATCAAACTTTACCTTCCGTACTTTCAAAAAGAAGTTTAAATAAAGCAATTAGGAACACCTGACCTATCAGCTGCACTATGCCCACTCCTTAACAACAAAATTGGTAACTGCCAGCCAAGGGAATTAGTAAATTCTTTCAGCATTTTATTCCAAGTTTGCCTAGTCCCCAGAAGCTCAAACTTGTTAAGCATATTTTCTGTCCAAGGGTGCAGATTTCTCGTGTATGAGCAAGTCCACCAAACCCTTTGCATGACAGAAAGGAAATGACTGACACCTGGAATACTTAAGATTTTCTTCCTGGTTCTAACCAGTTCTAATGTAGATAAAGATAAAATTTAAAAATACGTCACAAAAGGATCCCAGTAGCATGCTTTGACTAATTAATAATCTCCAAGGGTATCAATAAAATCCAATTACTGTTATACAACTCATAATTTAATTATGAAACATTCATAATGAATTTTCGGACAAAAGTAAAATAAAACGTTTCTAAAACTTGAGAAAACCAAAGTCTAAAAGGCTCTTTACGAATTATTTAAATACAAAACTAGTTTTAGGATATGTATTCTAAGATCTTGAAGGTACATGTTTTACCTTTTTACTCCTAGCAACTGGTACTATTAGAAAAGTTTTATTGATGATGATGAAATATAAAGAAAATTTTATATTTCTTTAGCATTATTATTCAGGTCTGTGGACCGGGTAAATAAAAGAAAGAAAAGAAAATTTATCTAATGTGCAAAATGAGTTACTTTTAATTAAAGCTTAATTTCCAGTTTTAAGATACATACATATAAAATAAACTTTTGATAAACTATATTTAAGGTTAAGATAAAAAATATAATGACCATTAAGATGAATTAATTTACATGCGAAAAATGTACACTATTAAGTAAACACAGGTGGATTTTCATTCTTATGTAACTGAAAACTTCGACTGGGAAAAAAATATGAGGACAAACTCCCTCTACTGGTAATTAAAAAAAATCCAAATGGAGAGAAAAGTATTGTTGGAAGTATAATTTTATGGTAGGAAAGACTCCCACTTCCTATTCATAAATGAGGAAACTAAAACTTGATGAAGGTCACACATTAATAAATAAAGTTTATAGTATTAAAAAAGTATTAATTTCGTTAAAATTTCTTCAACAAGCAGCATCTGGCCTTGGTGTGCCCCCTACCTCTTGCTTAGTGGCCCCAGGCCCAGCAGTAACAGCAGCTGGCCTTGGTTTGCAGTTTGGCCTCTCCTGGGCACCTCTCAGCCCAGCACAAGTAGCAGCCATCTGCAGACTGCTTTGTAGTTCATGCCAGGTAACTCCTGGAGCAGAACGCAGATGGAGACTGATATTGGCCTGAACTTCCCAGGAGGTCCAAGAGGCAGTGGGCAGCCGGGTAAGACAGCTTCAGACCATATCAAAGCACCACCCAATCACCTGCACAAGTGACATATTCAAGAGGCAAACTCAGCAGGCACCAGAGCCCTAATGAAGTAAGTTCTGCTCCATGGGGTGGGCTGACTGTTCACTCCAGTGGTCAGGGCCAGCCCTCACAGCTGATTGGCCAGGGAGATAAATCCCTCCCACTGACATGCCAACAGAAATCCAGGTTCAACTACAAGGAGAGGGAGTACACAGCCCAGGGTGGGGTTGTACCTGGAGTGCAGTGCTTCGGTGAATGGGGAGGCTATGCCACTCTACCCTTCAGGACACCTGCTACATAAGGCCCCTCTACCAAGCCTGGAAGAGGTAACAGCTCTACCTAATGCACAGAAACAAGCACAGGGAGGCTACCAAAATGAGGAGACAAAGAAATATGTCCCAAATGAAAGGACAGAATGTAACTCTAGACAAAGGACTAAACAAAATGGAAACAAGCAATCTACTAGATGCAAAATTGAAAACACTGGTAATAAGGATGCTCAATGAACTTAGGGGAAGAATAGATGAACTTAGTGAAAATTTCAACAAAGAAATAGGAAACATAAAAACAACTAGAAAACATAAAAAAGAACCACTCAGAAATGAAGAACACATTAACTGAAATGAAGAATATATTACAGGGAATTAATAGTGGAGTAGATGAAGCAGAGGATCAAATTTCTTAGAAGCTAAGAAAACAGAAAACACACATAAAGAGTTTCCCAGGCAACAGCAATCTAAAGTAGTTCATCACCATCAAACCAGCATTATATGATATGTTAAAGGGCCTTCTTTAAAAAGAAAAAACCAGCCCTGGCTGGTGTAGATCAGCGGATTGGGAGCCGGACTGTGAGGCAAAGGGTTGCTGGTTCAATTCCCAGGCAGGGCACATGCCTGGGTTGTGAGCCAGGTCCCCAGTGAAGGACACATGAGAGGCAACCACACATTGATGTTTCTCCCTCTTTCTTTCTCCCTGCCTTCCCCTCTCTCTAAAAATAAAGAAAATCTTTTTATAAAAAAGAAAAAACAAAAAGAAAAATTTCAATAATAAAATGGCAATACAAGGTGGGGTGGAAGTTGGCTTATAGTTGTGAGTATGCAAAACAGTTTATTCTTGTATTATTTATTAATTTTTGTATTATTTTTCCATATCAACTGTAAACCTACTTTTGTCCCTCCCTTATATATTTGTCAACAATTGAATTTTTAAAAAACAAAATAAGCAAGTAGAACAAAAACAAACTCACAGAGGACATTTGCTAGATGGGAGGTTGTTGATGAAATGGGTGAAAATGGTGAAGGGATTAAGTACAAATTGGCACTTACAGAACAGTCACAAGGATGTAAACTATAGCATAGGGAATATAATCAATAATATTGTAATAACTATGTGTGGTGTCAAATGGATATGAGATTTATTAGGATATCATTTAGTAAATTATGTCTAATCACTGGGTTGTACACCTGAAAGTTACGTATTACTATATGCCAAATGTAATTGAAATTTTTTCAAAAACTTCAAAAAATTAAATAAAAATTATTGGAAAACAATTATTTCAATTATTTGAAAGGGAAGAGAGAAGAACAACATAAAGTTAGCAGGAAACTTTACTTCTGCCAGTCCCTATTCTGCCTTAATTTTAATTGGAAAAGCAGGCTCTTAAGAAGAAATGTTTTAAGACTGTCAAAAGTAGCCCTGGCTGGTGTGGCTCAGTGGATTGAGTGCCGGCCTGCGAACCAGAAGGTTGCTGATTTGATTCCCAGTCCAGGCACATGCCTGGGTTGCAGGCCAGGTCCCCAGTGGTAACCACACATTGATGTTTCTGTCCCTTTCTTCCTCCTCTCCCTCATCTCTAAAAATGAGTAAATAAAATCATTACCAAAAAATGACTGTCAAAAGTAAGGGGTCAGTTTCTCTTGCCTGGATACAAATATATCAAAATGCTTTACCTGGATACCCAAAACCTTGCTCTTCCTTGCATCCATCCTTTCTGCAAAATTCATAATAATGTGGGCTCATAATCTGCCCATCCAAATGAATACTCTTCTTCATATAGTTTTGATAGTTTGTGCTTTAATGACTTTTCTAAGAATATGCAAAAAGTCCTGAATTATACTCCAATTCTGAAAATCCACTTGAAGCCTGGTATCCTGAAATGCATCTGACTGTTTATAGTGCTGTATTCTATTACCACAACTACTTAACTATTACTTGTACTGTCAGCTACCATTTATTGAGTACTCACTATATACCAGGCTAAGTACTTCAGTGTTTTACATGAGTTCATTTCATCTTCCTATCAACACTCTGAGGTAGTACTATTATCAGTTAACAAAAAAATTAAAAAGTTAATTGGCTAGCCCTGGCCGGTGTGGCTCAGTTGGTTGGAGCTTCATCCTATAGACCGCAGGGTCAAGGGTTCAATTCCTGGTCAGGGCACATGGCTAGGTTGTGGGTTCAGTCCCTGGTCAGGACTACCAATGGATGTTTCTCTCTGAATTTGATGTTTCTCCTCCTCTCTTTCTCTCTCCCTTTCACTCTCTAAAATCAGTAAGCATGTCCTTGGGTGAGAATAAAAAAAAAAAAAAAAAAAAAAAAAAAAGTTAATTGCCCAAAGCCACAGATCATAGCAAATGTGGTAATAAATATTTGAAACTAGGAATTATGATTCCAGAGACCACACTGTTATTTTATGCATAATCCTTATTTTGAAAGAAACAAAAATAACAAACTTACTCTAAAAAGTAATTCAAACTACCCATTGTTGAACATCTCTAGGAAATAGTATAGTTGAATACCATTATCATTTTAAACTTCACAAATGTATGTATAGCTCTTTGGTTCACAACCTCAAGTCACTGCCACATTAGAGGCTTTTAAAAGATAATGAAGATTTCTCTAGACAAAACCAATCATGAAATAAGAAGCATCTTTTGGTGAGTTAAGAGAATCAAAAAGGGTCATTTTCTTGGAAAATAAAAACATGTCCACTCAAAAACTTGTACATGAATGTTCACAGCAGTATTATTAATATGCCAAAAGGTAGAAACAACCAAAATGTCCATCAACTGCTGAACAGATAAATAAAATGTGGCATATCCATACAAGGGAATATAATTTCCAGATAAAAGGGAATAAAAAGGAATGAACTACCAACACACACTACAACATGGATGAACATTATACTAAGTCAATGAAGGCAGTTACAAAGGACCATTATGACATGACTCCACATGAGATGTCCAGGATAGACAAATCTACCCACTGGCTAGGGCTGGGGTAAGAGTGGGAGGAAGAGTTGGGGGGAAATGGGGAATAACGACTAATGCACAGGGGATTTCTTTTGGAGTAATTTTGGGTAATAAAACTGTTCTACAATTAATTATGGTGATGATGGTTGCATAACTCTGTGAATATACTAAAAACCACTGAAACTGTATACTTTAAATGAGTGAAGTGAGAGTACTTTGGTTTGAATGTTTGTCTCCCCTCAAATTCATATGTTGAACTCCTAATGTATTATGTGATGGTATTAGAAAGTGGGACCTTTGGAAGGTAATTAGGTCATGAGGATGGAGCCCTCATGAATGGGATTAGTATCCTCATAAAAGGGACCTCTGAGAGCTCCCTATCTCCTTCTTTCCATGTGGAATTACAGTAAGTGTGTAACCTGACAAGGGCCCTGGTACATGGTACCCTGATCCTAGACTTCCATCCTCCAGAGCTGTGAGAAATAAAATTTCTATTGTTTGTAATTTTGCTACTCAGTCTGTGGTACTTCGTTATAGCAGCCTGAATAGACTAAGACATATGGTATATGAATTATATCTTCTTAAAGTTGTTGAAGATATAGTAGTCTCTACAATCTCTTCAAAAGCTTTCAATAAGCATTCTAAGGTTTTCTATTCAGTCACACTCTAAGGCAATTTTTATTTGAATTTTCCAATTTCAATCCATTTCTGTATAGTATTGCACAGTCCATATATATTTACCTAAATTATAGCTCAGAAATAAATATAACTACTACAAGGAATAAATGAGGTATAAAAATGGCTCAAAATTCAAATAAAAAAATTAGAAAATGTCAAGTATTAGGTTCTAAACTTTAATACCAAATATTTTTATAATTTAAAACTAATAAGAGCAGATAATAGATTTAACTCAGTGTTAGAGACATGCTTTGACAAAGAACTCTAGGACAACCTTAGCATTTGAGTTTTAACATTAGTGACTATAATAATTTACATTCTTCCTACAAGGTAGATTAACAATAATTTGTGAATATATTTTCATATCGCACAAGCTGTTAAGATTCTGGAAAAATAAAGTGCTATAACATGGAAACAATTATTAAACTTCCTTAGGTCTTCTAATATATATCCCACAAACTTACCATCTGTACACTTTTTTCCAATTCCTGGGGAATCGCAAATGTAGATGAAGGAGCCTGAGTAAGTGGCCAAGCGCCAGCCTAGAAGAAAAAAGTAAACTGAAAAGTTGCACAGATAAACATCTAACTTGAAAGTAAATATTTATAAAATCATTTAAACAACTAAAACACCTCTTTTTTTCCCCTTCCTCAAAATGTTGATAAAACTCATCAGCATTACTATCATGACATATTCCATTCCAAGTCAATATAACATAACTTTAGAAGCTAGAATCCATTGATTGAAAGAAATGTAATCAGCCATTCATTCATTAATCCTTTGTATTAAACTATTTGAAATGATTAGCAAATGCCTGCAATAAAAGACATAGGCATACCTGTAGAACATATATTTGAAAACTAATTCCCAAATCTATTACTGTGTCTTGATTTTTGATAAAATTGTTGAACTTATTGTTGAGATCAGCACTGACACTCATATCTGTATACATCCGATGTAGCTTGCTGGTAAACTCATAACCACACGCTTGCTGTAAAAAGTTTTAAAAAATATACAATTTAAAAAGAAAAATAATAAACCATACCGATTAATAAGAACACGTTATTATTGCTAAGTCTATGGTCAAGGGTCTGTCTACTGAGTAACTCAAGATAAATATCAATCAGCTACAATTAATTTCATTAATGTGTAAGCTAATATGATACAAAAATAAAGTAAAATTCAACTGCATTACAAAACTTGTATTTAAAGAAATATTTTAGGTGTATTTATTTACAAGTAATACAAATCTTTTGTTAACACTGTTTATCTTGTGAATAATTCTTTATCTATATATAGAGAGAGATCAATCCTTTAATATATTATTTGTATATACCATTAAACATTTAACCAGTTACCTGTGGATGAATCATTTCTTGTTATAGATAATGCCACAATGAACATCTTTATGTGCTAGATGAATAATTTCTAGGTCATGATTAAATCAAAGGCATCCATTACCTTTAATTTATTGATCATGGCTTCTTCAGAATCCATAGACATAGATAATCCGTGAATTAAACGCTTTGCCAGCATTCTTGCATAGAACTATATTAAAAAAAATATTTCTAAAGATTATTTCCTTGCTGATGACTTAAAGCTTAAAAATAAATCATATCTGAATAAAACAAATAAAATTTCTCTATTTACAACTTACCTTTTGAAAAACATCCTTATCATCGATATATTTGAAAACAGTAATGAAGCTGGTGAGTTTGTCTTCCACTTCATTCTCAGTCATCCCTTTCGCTGATTTCTTTAGTAAGTTGTCACAGTACTTAGCAAGCTCAAATAGAAATTGACAGTAAATCTTATAAAGAACCTTCTATACATATGCCTCAAAAAAGGTAAAACGACAATTCAAAGTACCAATGGATAGGGTCTCTGCCATCTTAAAGCCAAACTTTCAAAAATTATGAGCATACACGAAAGAACTTAAAATGTCATAAGGCAAATTTAAAAAAAACTTTAAACAAGTAAAAAATCTAACCAATACTTAGTGAATAATAAAACACTGATATAAATAATAGAAGTTTCAAAAGGGCACCTAGATGAGTTTTGTGTAGATCTATAATTTTTGACATTAAACAGGTATGGTTTTAAACTTTTACAACTTTGTAATTAAGTTTCCTTTAATGGTTATAAAAAGTTAATCATCAAATTTCTTTTCAATTTCAGATAAAATGTCTCTGAAAAGTAATGAAAATTATTTCAAAGCAGACATTCTTTAAAACTCAAACTTTATAAAACAATATTTTCTCCTTTAGTTATTTCTTAAGAAGCAATCATATATACGGGCCATTGCATTTCTTAAATAGAAGTCAAATTATATATAATACAGACAATCATTTTTATTTTTAATAATTAAGTTTCATGTACTTCTTTCTGAAAAATGCTACAAAAACAAATTAATTTGACATTCTCAGTTTTCTTTTTCTATTACTGATATTTTTTAAGATTATTTTTAAGTAATCATCAAACTTACCAATTCGGGAGCTCTGCAAACAGACTTGGGTTCTCTATAATTTACAACTGATGTAAGAGCCTAAGTAGAAAACAGACCAGTAATTAGGCACCAGTAATAGTGTATAATCCATAAATTACTACCCCACACAAAACAGCATTTTGATGGTTGTTAATTTTATTTTAATTTCAAACACAGGGTAAAAGCCTCTAACTATATACCTCATGATAATTATAGAACAATTACATATCCTGTTCCTACAGAAAGCTATTCTTATAACTCATTACTGACATCTGAACATAGATAAGAGTACACTTTAAAACATCTTATAATCATGTAAGCAATTTTCCTTTAAAGCATACCAAAATTCAAAATTTTGTAAAATGTATTTATTTTTCTTTCAAATATTCAATATAGTTACATATTTTATTCAAAGGCAAAAAATCAGCACTAAAAGGTTGAAATTATACATGTTTTTTCATAACATGAGTTTATTAATGATTCAATTCCCCTTGTATGGCATAATAATGGAAAATTCAATTCCCATATAATTCAAACATTCAATTTACCCATTCAGTTACTATGTTATTATTATTTTGATTTTCATATTTAAAGCTAATCTCCCTGTCAAGATTAGAAATCTCATATAGAAACCCCAATCCTGAAACCATCTTAAAGCATAATGAGTAAATAAAGAGAATTAGAGCTGATCCTTAAACAACATGGGTTTGAACTGCACAGGTTCACTTATATACCTAGATTTTTGTCTATAAATACTGTAAATGTATTTTCTCTTAAGATTTCCTTAATAACATTTTCTATTCGCTAGCTTATTTTACTGTGAGAATACAGTCTTCAAGGTCTGTCCAGAAAGTATCCTGCCATGTACTATGAAAAATAAGAGACATTTATTGAAGATACAAGAAACATAGGACAATGACGACTTAGTCCCCTTCAAAGTAGGCAACTTGAGACCTCACACAGTTCCTTCAGCATTTCTTCCACTGTTCAAAGACTCTGCAAAATCTTTTGTTGAAATGGCCATCAGCGCCCCTGCCGTATTTTTCTGATCTCATGAACGATCTGTAATCTCTTCCCTTTCGAAGTTGATTTTAGTTTTGAGAAAAGCCAGAAATTGCAAGGTGCCAAATCTGGGCTGTAGCGGGGCTGAGTCACCTGGGTGATTTGATGTTTTGCCAAAACTCTGCACGAAATGTGACTCATGAGCGGGCGCCATTGTTGTGATGAGGCTGGCAATGCCCAGTTGCACATAGCTGTGACTGTCTTCGTCTTATTGCATGTCTCAATCAAGTAAGACCACTGAGGTGGTACTCCTTATTAACTGTTTGGCCTGGAGGAGCATACTAATGACAGACAACACCTTCCCAATCAAAAAACACAGATAAAATGATCTTGATCTTGCCGTGACTTTGCTGTTCCTTCTTTGGATGGAAAGAACGAGGCAACTTCCACTGGGATGACTAGGTCTTTGTTTCCAGATCATAGCCAAGGACCCACAACTCATCTCCAGTTATGACCTTCTTGGGGAAATCTGGTTCATTGACAGTGGTTTGAATCAAAGTCATTAGTAACTGCAGCACAATGTTTCTTCTGCTCTGGTAGCAGAAGCCCCAGAACAAATTTTGCATGACACATTTCATGCAAAGATCCTACGTCAAAGTCTTGAACACAATAGTTTTTGGAATCCCAGATCAGCATCTAGTTCTCGCACTGCTGCTGATCTTTGTGGACTGCAGCCTGTGTATGTTCAACATTCTCAGGTGATCTCCTTGTTGCAGGCCTTCCAGAATGTGGATCACTTTCAACAGATTCTTGACCACCTTTGAAGCATTTATGCCACACTTTTATTTGCACTGCACTCATTGCATTGCTCCTGAAAGCCTTCTGAATAATTTGAATAGTTTCCACAGAGGAATGTTCAGGCTTAATGCAAAATCTGATGCAGATTCATTGCTATACTTGCTCAGTTATTTTGAATGTGACAGGCACACAGTACACATGCTCACTCAATGGCATCTACTGCCGCCACTGACTAGTACAGTGAAGTTGTCATTGTTCATGTATGTGTGTTTCAGTCCACTTTCCTTGGCTACCAGGTTACATCATTGTTGCACAAACCATTCTCATTATATTAACAACAGCTGGACTTTTTCTGGACAGACCTTATAATGAACATACAGAATACACATTAATCAACTATGTTACCAGTAAGTCTTCTGGTAATATCAGTAGGCTATTAATATTGAAGTTCTGAGGAAGTCAAAAGTTATAGGAGGACTTTAGACTACAGGGTATCAGAGCCTCTATCCCCTGCATTGTTCAAATACACAGACATTCCTTGACTTAAAATGGTTTTCACAATTTTTTTGACTTTACGATGGTGAGAAAGGGATATGAATTCAATAAAAATTATAATGGGCATTTTGAACTTTGATCTTTTCCAGAACTGCTGATATGTGGCACAATATTCTCTAATGATGCTGGGCAGCGGCAGTGTGGTACAGCTGCCAGTCAACTGTATGATCACAATGTAAACAACTGATACTGTACTGTGTATTTACTGTAAGATGATTTTGCCCTACTACAGCAAAATTAAGTGTTCTGAGTATGTTTAAGGCAGGCTCAGCTACGCTGTAATGTTTGGTAGGTTAGATGTATTAAGTGAATTTTTGACTTACGACATTTTCAACTTACGATGGGTTTACCAGGGCATAACCCCATCATACATTGAGAAGCATCAGTAGATACAGGTATTATTAAAGTTACCTTATCCAATGCACTCATAAAGTGCTGATCACCATTCAAAACAGTGTTGATAAGTTGAACAAATTTACCATGTACTTCCAAAACTGACTCCACAAATAGTGTTGGCATCTAAAAATATAAAGTACAAAAACACACTTTAAGAAGTTTCAAGGATATAATTAGGCTTATTAAATAGTCATTTAATTAAAAGTAAAGTTTTCCCCAAGCAAATTAATGTTACACACACACACACACACACACACACCCTCAAAAAATATTTTTAGCTAAAAAGGTCTTAAAAATCTAAAACTTTGATGCTGAATCAGCTGTCATTAAACACCAGAAATACAGGGTTAAAGTTCCTCCGCCAAAGTGTGTGTAAAAAACACATTTCTCTCTGTGTGTTGGAATACCGTATCTTAAGGGCAACAAGGTACAACCTCTGAACCACCAGGTCTATCAGTTTCATAGAGGATTACAGAAACAAAAACTGCCTTCAAAGCCACTGAAGGCTAAGAGAGAAAGCAGAGTTCAAAAGCCATTATCTGTGAAAATTGAGGACCCTGGAGCTGGGCAATACTCCACATCTAAGAGGGAAGAAATACTTAGCTGTGCAAATGTGAGTTTTTACTCTTAATGGGGATAATTATAAAGTGAGTATCTAGCTCCAGCTGGATAGCTCAACTGGTTAAAGCGTCGTCCCAATATGCCAAAGTTGCGAGTTTGATCTCCAGTGAGGGCACATACAAGCAGCAACTAATGAATGCATAAATAAGTGGAACAACAATGTCTCTCTGTCTCCCTCTCTCTCTCTAAAAAAATCAATTGAAAAAAAGTTAGTATCTAAGATTTCAGTCAGCTAAAATTATCTGAGTTTATTACAAATGCATTCTCTTGTATTTCTAGCTCCCAGTCCTTGACATCAAATTCTATGTTTCTATGCCTAAGGTCGTTTAATACCCTGAATCTATAAAGCTAATAATGTACACTAACCTAATAAATAACACAGACTAATAAACATAAAGATATAAACTCAGAGTTTTTTAAAAATAGAAAACTTATGTAATATTGTAGTAGGACATAAAATCTAAGGTTTGCGAAAGACAAATATACAACTCAAATAATGAGCATATAAAACGCCCCTGAATAATATTGTCTATGCACAGATTACTACATTATAGATGACAAGTAAATAGTTCTACCTAGGAAAAAGAACTAACATTTCATGTCACATCTATTCTGTTCATCAAACATCACCAATAAAAACATGGTGGTCCAACAAGTTTTGATGACAGAAATACACTGATAGGAAAGATGCCTTGTTGTAAATAGGCATTTGATTATCAGAGAACTCTTAAGAAAGATGGGTATTAGGAACATGATGGTCACTGCTGGTTACTTTGGCAGGCAAACATGTATTTAGAGAAGATTGTTTTCATCTAAATTTGCTTCCTGGGCTACCAAATTCAGAGCATATATAAAGAAAGCAAATTGTGAGTTCTCTATATTACCACTGATCAATCCCATTACTTCTACAACTAACTACTAGTGCCAGTTACAAAGAAATACAAATATTTAAAAATAGCACAGATATGAACATATCAGTGTAACTAAGTAGAAGCTTAACTCATGCAATGATTTTCTAATAATTTGATAATTCCAAAATGTGTCCGGCAAACTCTAGGTCTGAAACACTTCAATAAAGATATTTCACTTATTGGCATGGTAAAACTTTTCTTTCACTGTTTAATAAAGTAAAAACAAAAAACCCAACTCCATGATAATCTGATTAAGAGAAAAATGTTCTAGTTCCTTATGTAACTCACATTTTCCTGAGTAAGATTACTGGTTGCTCTGAGGCCCTCATCATGAACATGATTTTGTAGCTCCTGTATCATATGAGGTAAACCAGTGGACACAGCACGGAGTAAGACATACATATTTGCCATGTCTAAGGGGGAAAAATTTGATTATTAGATTTCCAAATATTTTAATATATTAGGTAATATATGGTTCAAAATGCAGAAGATTCCCCCACACCTGCCTCCCAACCACCCAGTCCTCCTCCCCATGGACATATTGTGGTTAATATCTTTTCAAAGCTGTTTCATGCACATTCAGGCAAATATACATATTCTCCCTTCTGCCCGTTTTTATAAAATAGTATATTTTGTGTATTATTTGCAACTGCAAAACACAACATTTTCACTTAGAGATCTTTTTATGTCAGTACACAGAGCATTTCTTCATGTTTTACAACTGTACAGCACTCCGTTATACATAACAATTACTCAACAGTTGATAGAAATTTGGCTGTTTCCAATCTCTTGATACAATGTTATAATTAACAATCCTGCATATAGACAAGAATATCTGTAGTATAAACCCCTCCAAATAGGACTGCTGTATCAAAGCTTAACCTTCTAGAAGGATCCTACTAAACAGAGCTCCCAAAAGCATGGAGCTAGCTCCCTTACCAACAATGTGTTATCAAAAGTTTTTATCTTTGCCACTGAGAGGTGAAAAATGATGTCTCAGTGTTAGGGTTTTTATTTTAAACTTTTTATTAAAGTATACATACAAAAAAACACGTAAGCCAAAAGTGTATGCCTCAATGAATTATCACAAGTGAACACACACCCTCCCCCCGCAATGTAATTACCACCCAGGGTAAAAAACAGACATTACCTATACCTAGAAGTCCCCTTCACACCTCTTCCCAATCACTATTCCTCTTGCTCTTCTGCAAAGGTAATCACTGTCATAAGTACTAAACCACAGATTAGTTTTGCCTGTTTTGAACTATTTATAAAAATGGAATCATACAATTCTTTCATGTTTAGTTTCTTTCGTTCAACATGTTTATAAGGTCATATATGTATGATGTTGTATGCAGATGTAATTTGTTCATTTTCACTCTTCTATTATATTCCATTGTATGAATATAATGTACTTTATCCATTCTATTGTTATAGGATATCTGAGCTGTTTCCAGTGTTTGGGGCTATTACAAATAATGTTGCTATGAACAATTTTGTACATACATGCAGCCTCTTTTGGCAGGGATAATAATACATATGGGAGAGGAATGGCTAGATCATAATACATGCATATATTCAGCTTGAGCAGTTAATGTCAGTTTTTCAAAGCCAACAAGTTCCCAGTATCCACACACTTCCCAACATTTATTATTTTTAATCTTTTAAATTTTATATAAAAATGCTAAGTATTGCTATCTTAGTATGCTTTTAATTTGCATTCCCCTATTTTAATGAGATTGAGGGCCTTTTTATGTTTATTGGCCATTTGGATATTCTCTCTTCTGCTGTGCCTGTTCAAAATCTTGACCATTTTATATTTGGACACGAATCTCTTTTAGTCATTGCAAATCTATTTCTACCCTATGGCTTATCTTTTCATGATCCAAAGTTGTTAATTTTAATTCAGTCACTTGATTGATCTCTTTCCTTTGTGGTTAGTGCTTTTGTGTCTTATTTAAAATGTCTTTCCCTACTTCAAGGTCATGAAATTATTCTCCAATATCATTTCCTAGAAGTATTATTGTTTTACATTTAGATCAAAAGCCTACAATGACTTGACTGATTCTGTATATGGTGTCTTAGGTACAGATCAAATTTCACTTTCTTCCAAATGAATAATGAATATCCAGAGGACTCAGCAGTATGTGTTGAAAAGACTATCATCTTTCACCCACTCCTCTGCAGTGTCTCTTTTGTCTTAAATCAAGTATCTAGTATGCATGGGTTATTTCTACACTATTTTATTCCACTGGTCTGTTTGCTTATCTTTCTTACTTTGGTTTTATGATGTCATTCTATCCTGCAAAGCCTTCGCTTCATAGTCGTCAACACTGTCACGACTGTTCTTAAGAGTATAACTCAGAACAACAACAACAAAAATTCGGTTTTGAGTAGATTGTCCCGGTTCATCAATGTTACTTTCAACAATGTTTAATTTTCATTGTAAGACTGGCAAATATCTTATTAGGTTTATTCCCTGCTATTTGAAAATTCTTAATGCCATTTTCTTTTTCTAAAAAATTCAATTTTTTCACTGTATACTGCTAGCATCTCATTGTATTTTTATTTTATATTGCATTTGTTTTGATTGAGACTGTGCATCTTCATAGAGTTAAAATTCATTTATATTTCCTTTTCATATTCTTTGCCTTTTTCCTACTGCTTATTAGAATTCTTAATGTATTAAGGAAATTAGCTCTTGTGATACATAACAATGTGCAATTATTTTCCTAGGTTTTTTTGAGTTTAGAATATGTCTGGAGAATATAGTTCTCCAAAATTGTCTTTTATAAGAGATTATTAATAAAGTATTTCAAATATTTTAGAGACTCAGACTACAATATACTTGAAATCTAAGGTTACTTGAAGACTATGTAAGAAGTGGTTTATAATTTAATTTTTATTTACATTTTGAATTACTTACCATTTTTTTTCTCTTGTCGAATGATATTATGACATTCTGCATGTAAGAACTGTAAGTGGTCTGCTACCATTCGTTGCTGACATTCATGAATCACTTTAGTATATGAACTTGGGTGCAAGTATTTTCGACATCGAATTTCTTCATCTTTTAATCTACCTAGAACCTTTAGCAATATATTGTTATAGTCATACACTACTATGACAAAAAACTGTAATATCAGTAAATAACTTAGGTAGACTAATTTTAATGGCTTAATTAAACATGGCCAGGTAACAAATAAACATTACATAACAAATTTAAACACACATTTCATAAATCACTTCGAATTTTTATTTAAGCTACCATCACCTACATCTCATCCCAGTCTTATGAAAAATTTCCAATGGCCTTCCTTTTAACAGTTTTAAATATAATTTATGTATCATGTTTCACCTCTTTAAAGTATACAATTCAATGGTTTTGGTGTATTAATTAGTGTTTTTAAAATTGTGATAAATATATTTAACAAAATTTGTATAATTCATTGGTATTAATTATATTCACAATATACAACTGTATTTCCAAAATTTTTTCATACCAAGTAAAAAACTTTATAAATATTAAGCAATAACTCCCTACCCTACCCTCCCAAAAACTTCTAATCTACTTTCTGTCTCAAAGAATTTGCCTATTCTAGGTATTTCATATAAGTGGAACAATATAATGTTTTTTGTCAATGGCCTCTTTTGGAGAGTCGGATATAATGAGTATACGCTTCACTTATCACCTTGAGCACTTTTCATGATTGAATCCAGATCCTTTACCAAGACTCTCAGATTATTCAAAAAGGGATAAGAACTGAGAATCACTGATTTAGTGTAACCTGCACTTAGTGTAACCTGCACTTAATAGATGAAGGAAAATGTCCTACTTGACTTACTCAAGGTCCCAGAGCTAATGAGTGACAACAGCAGGAAGACAAACAGCTCAGACTTCGAAGCCTTGGCTTTATGAAATATATTAACAGTTTATTAGTAAATAATGGTATTTCCTGACCTATGATCCATGGAGACATAGTATTGCTATTTTCCTTACCCTGTATCTTTCTTGGCTAAACTAGCTAACACAAATCATCCTATAATAAAATGCTTGAGCCTCGGCTGCTGTGGCTCAGTAGACTGAGTATAGGCGTATAAATTGAAAGGTCGCCAGTCAGGGCATATGCCTGGATTGTGGGCCAGGTCTCCTGTTGGGGACGTGTAAGGGGCAACTAATCAATGTTTCTCTCCCTCTCTTTCTCCCTTCCCCTCTAAAAATAAATAAAATCTTTTTTTAAAAAATGCTTGAAAATGGAGACAATTATAACTGAACAATTTTCAAAAAAAGCAATAAAGATCTTGAAGAAAAAACATGCTTGAAATCTAACACTGCAGATGAAAAAAACCTCATTGAAATCTCTAATATATCTTGTATGGTTACTGAATTTATACTATGACAATTCTTTTACTGAGAAAATATACATGGAATTTTAAATACAGTAATCAGTATGTGCTGGTTCAATGATTGATTAAAATTTCTTACGGTAAAATTAAAAGTTTTCTCAGCATTCCAAAAATTAAGAGACAAAAAGAGTGGCCTATCTAAATACCTATGGAAGTATTATAGTTTTCCTTATTTTTCTTCCATTTTAAAGGAAGAAAGATAAAAACCGAAATACCTACAGTCTATGTTTATCCTATTTCCTAAACATCTCTGTTAAGCATATAGCTTATTTTGCCCAGATTGTGAATACATATTAATTTTAAAGACAAGCAAATCAAGCAGTCAGGATTTATCAAAAAGCATCAACCATGATAAAAACTGGAATAGCAGTTTTTCTCATGGAAAATGCTACAGCAAGAAAAATGATTTATTGATAGGTGATGTGCATTAACTATAACACAGAGTAATGACCAAACAGAAACTTTTACCACCAAAAAATATATTAACTAAGAAAACTGTTACATAAAACCACATCTGATATAGAGTAGATGATGTATTTAACATACATTTTCGTTCTTACCTTTTCCATATACTGTGAGCAGTTTGATTCTTGTAATAAATTTGAAGCTTCTTGTTTGTAATACTCTCCTGTTTCAGTCAGAAAGGGGGACTCAAAGATTTCCTGATAAAACTAAATAAATCAATTAAAATCATATTAAAGAAATTAAAACAAGTAATTTAAGAAGTTAAAGGTCTGATTATTCAAGTTGTTAAAGGAAGCTTTTTACCTTCAAGGGGAATTTTTTCTTATACTGTTCAACATGAACAAAGGAGTTAATAACCCCATGGATTACTTTCTGGTTTGGGTCTTCTCCACCACGATCACTAAAAGAAGGTGTGACACAAAATATTCTTGAGAACACAAATTATCTATGAAAATATACCAAAGTACGCCAAATATGACTGCTTATCCTACTGGTGTAATCAAACTGTAAAACATTTTAAATGTCAATGCGTGCACAGTGTTTAAAAATAATTTTTTCATATAACAGCTGAATTAATATTTGATATTTAATGTACATATTAGATGTCATTTCAATAAATGAAATAAAAGCCTTGATTATAAAATTAAACATATTCTGTTGATAAAAAAATAGTTTAACTTTAGGGTAGATATTAGCCCCTCATATTAAATTCAAGACTTTAATATTGATGGTTAAGGATATTTGAGTTTCACCCTGGCTGCTGTAGCTCAGTTGATTTGAGCATCATCCCACAGACTGAAAAGGGTCATAGGTTCAATTCCCAGTCAGGGCATATACCCAGGTTGCATGCTTGATCCCCTGGTCAGGGGTGCATATGAGAAGGCAACTAATCGATGTTTCTCTCTCACATCAATGTTTCTCTCCCTGCTCTCTCCCTCCCTAACCCTCTCTCTAAAATCAATAAGCATGTCCTTGGTGAGGATTTAAAAAAACTGATTTTTACTCATCCTAAACACTATTATCAGAAGATTTGGTCTGAGAAACAATTACTAGTTAGGCTATAGTAATTTTTTTTCTTTTTTTGCCTATCCTGACTTGATGGTACGGGTCCCTCAGAGCTACACTCTATAGAATGTATCACTTACTGAAATGAGTAAGAGCTGTGTTTTCTCTCTAAGAAATCTGCTAGAGCTGCTGAGTTTCTTTCCATTCAAGTACAAAGGTATCTATTTAGAAGCGCAGTGAGATGTTTTAGTATTTCTATATTCCTTTACAACTGCAAGGGAATCTAAAATCATCTCAATCGTTAATAATCAATCATGACTACATGATGAAGTTCTCATAAATGTCCCTAAACTACAGTATTTGGAACACTTCTAGATTAATGAACACATCCAAATTCCCAGCAGCAGAAGCTCCTGTGCTCCAGATCCTTCCAGATCTCACCCTATGTACCTCTTCATCTTGTTGTCCAACTGTATCCTTTATCATATCTTTTATGATAAACTTGTAAACAAATACTTGTTTATAATACGTGTCTTTAATAAACTTGTAAAAAATAAAAATCATCCCAATTATTTATTTGACATTTGATAAGTTCCTTCTTAGCACTACTGTGGTGCAAATCTTAATTATGATTTTTAAAATGTAGATGGTCCTGGCTGAGTAGTTCAGCTGGTCCGAGTGTCATCCTGATACACCAAGATTGAGGTTTGACCTCTGGTCAGGGTCTATATGAGAATCAACTGACGAATGCATGAGTAAGTGGAACAACAAATCAATGTCTGTCTGTCTGTCTGTCTGTCTCCCTCTCTCTCTCCCCCTCTTCCTCCCTCTCTTCTTCTCCCTCTAAAATCAATAAACTTCTACCAATTTGAAAAAAAATAATTAAAAAAATTAAAAATGTAGGTGAATATTAGTGTTCTAAGTACAGAAATAGGGAAATAAAATAGAAAAAAAAAGTTTGCCTAAAGCCACAGTTAAACAGTCTGGCCCTAACTTGGGAGTTTATGACTCTAGCATTATGCTCAGTTTACACCATTATACAGTCAAAGGTCTGCTGTTTTACTGGCAATCTTCCACCTCACTTTAAAATGATTTTTTAATTAATAATTATTTTACAAAGAACAAAAGAAAATATACTAATATCATTCCCTGGTAAATGCTTCTTGTTCTTTGTAGTAGGATATAAAGGTTTTCTAACATTTAAGGAAAGTATTGAGGCAATTACCTTTATACATTAGTGTCCCTCCCTCCCTCTGCATCCCTCTAACTCACTTTCATTCTTCCTTTAATTATCTGGATATCCTGGGGAAAGTTTTTGTACATGAATTAATATGGCTACAATTCTGTCAGTCACAGAATCTTAGATGCAAAGCCTACATTTTGATATCACTAATAAGAACAATAAGATCACACAGTGAGCTCATTTCCTCCGCTCACCTTAGTTAGTTCCCCCTTTAGCCCAGATGAAGTCTGGTGAAATAATGATCTAACCTAGCTTATCTATTTGAAACACATCATTTTTTTCCTTTTAACTTTGCCTAGGATCAAGTGAAAATCAGCTAAGAACAAGAAGTACCTGAATTATCTGGAAAATCAGGTTACCTGAGATACTTGAGATACTTTTCATGATCAAATCCTATTGTCCCTGCTCATCAGAAGTTTTCCTGGAAACTTCCACTCCTGCGATTCTCAGCAAACTTGACATTTGATTCTCACCACAAAAGGCTCAGATTAAGCTAGATTCAGATAAGGTACTGCCTAGGAAAAAAACCGATATTCCTAGTGCTTAATAACTAAGTTGCCCTCCTTATTAGAATAACATCTGAACTCAGAAACCTTTAGGCATAATTATTCAATCTTTAAGATCACCACATATTTTTATAACTGCACAAAAAATACTATACAAAATCATTATAAATATACTTCATTACTATTAAGTGACAAATAATGAAGACAAATAGTGAAGTCATTCTAAGTAATATACAAAAGCACTGACTAAACTGGTTATCTGAATAAACTCTAGTCTTATCTAAGAACAGTGGTGCTAAGGAACAAGTCTTGAGAAAAGAATATGAAGAATTTTTAGAAATATAACTTATTATTTGATCTTATCAAAACTATGTAGAAAATGCTGTATAACAATCATAATGAAATCCCCAAGAGAGTAAAAGAACTCACCTGAATAGTGGGGACTAATAGGAAAGTCTGCCCTTTAACACTGGAATTCTGGAGTCAGATTTCCTGGGTTTGATTTCTGGCTGTGTCAATAAATATACACTTTATGCAGACACTTAACCTCTTAGTGCTCAAGAGATGTCCTGTTCTGTAAAGTGGGCATAATAAAAGTCCCTACACCTCCTCAGAATGTAGTAAAGATTAAGCATAAGCCAAAAAAGTATATCGCACAGTACATGGGACATGAGTAAGCAATCAATAAACATTAGCTAGTGCTTTAAGTACCCACAGGAGCAAAATAAAGCTAACAGACCAATAAAGCACTGATTGTGATTTTTTAAATCAAGGCTTTAAAATCCAACTAACTGGGCATTAACTCAAGACAGAAGACCAGGTTTGTGAGTGCAATTAAAAGTTACGCTAGAACTGTTAAAAAGTCCCGATACCAATATGGGACAATGGGCAAATTAATCTCTTAGGAAAACCTTCATTTATCCCCATACTTAAAATAAGAATAGAGATCCAGCAAACTAAATTCAGGCTTCTGCTCCCACATATATCTGAGTAATGACAGGAGGGGCACTTTTTAGTACTCCATTATTGGCAGTAGCCCTTGGACTTGCAGAAAGTAAAAAAAAATATAAAGAGGAATGGATAGCGTAGAAAAATAAAAAATACAGACAAAAATGCACAAGACAAAGAACTGCTACAAAGAGGACGTGGAGAAAAGCAGGCAAGAAGTGGCATACACTGAAATCTGGAGGGTGCACAAAGGTAAACAAAACCAGCTCGGTCATCAGGAGAACAAGTCAGTCTCTTGAGTCAAGCAACAAGAGTAGCTGTGTGTGTCCTGCAAGAGCAGTAACTGTGGTGCCTAAAGAAGTGCATAAGGCATACCTCTGCACCCAGAAGACTGCTGCAGCTCTTGAGAGCACCACTCAGATTCCCCACTGCCATCTTGGAAAGGCACAGAGAAATCAAGATACAATAACAACAAGCATTGACCTGCTTCTGTCTCAGACTCTGCAGTGGAAAAAGAGGTATTTCAGAGGGCAATCTGGCAAAATTCTAAATGCACATACTCTTATAACTCCAGATAAACAACTGCCTATGTGCATCATAGAAGCAAGAGTTGTATTAGTGGAAAAGCTGGATATAACCTAATATACATTTCTAGGAGAAGCACTGAATAAAATGAGGTACAACCATGCCAAATAGTATGTAACAGCTTAAAAAGAATGAGGTACATTTCTATGTACTTACACAGAAAAGTTACCAAGATACATAATTGAATAAAAAAGTAGTTAATAAGTATAAATACCATTAATGATTTTCAAAAGTTAGGGGGAAAAAACCTATAAAAATGGAAAACAGAGAGATCCAAGAAGGCAGCACAGTAGGTGGAAGCTACTCTAACCTCCTCCCAGGACCAAACTGGAATTATAACTTAATTATAGAAAAATCATCCTGAATAACCAACTGAAGACTAGCTGGAGAAAAGCCTTATAACCAAGGGCTTACAGAAGAAACCACATTACCACAGCAAGACTGACAGGAAGTATATATGCACAAGAGGACTGGCTGGGCTCCCACGGGCTGCAGCTGAAGAGCTGGAGGGATATTTCAGTAGTGTGGTGGGTTCCCCTGAGAAGTGTGGGGTCTAAAACCCAAGCTGGGCTCCCAAGACTAAAACACCATAATCAGAAAAGGAACCCAGATAACATCTGGCTGTGAAAAGCAGCAGAATTTCTGTCCACCATGGAGAGATGGTAAGAGACACAGAGCCTCTTAAAAGGCCCACACAAAAATTTTGTTTGCAGCCAGTTACCCTAGGTTCCCATAGAGGGAAGGCAGTGTGTTACATTTACACAATGGAATACTACCTGGCTGTACAAAGGAAGTAATTTTACCCTTTGCAACAGCATGGATGAACCTAGAGAACATTATATTAAGTGAAATAAGCCAGTCAGAGAAAAACAAATACCATATGATTTCACTCATATGTGGAATTTAATGGACAAAATGAACTAACAAGCAAAACAGGGATAGACTCATAGATAAGAGAGCAGTCTGTCAGCTCTGGGCAGGGAGTGAAGGGTGGGAATCAAATGAAAAAGAAAAACATCTCATGGACATGGACATGGACAACAGTGTGGTGACTGTGGGGCAGGTGAGGGAGGTACGTGCAGGTGGAAGAGGGTATAAAGGGGATAAATGGTA